GCGGGTTAGCCCGGCCTACCCCACCCCGCCGCACCCTGCCCCGAGGCCAGCAGCGCCAATCCCCGGCGGGAGGAGAAGAAATGCGCAGGGCTAGCAGGGCCCGCCGGGCAGGGCATATTCTATAGGAAACGCGCGTGCAGCGCAGTGTGCACTGCAGCAAACGTACAGTACCGATAATTAAACTTGTGCAATTACAAAGTGCAGCCGTCGTCAGCCTTTCCTTCCCGACGACAAATCGCTGCTGACTGTAACTTCTGTGCCCCCCCCCCCTTCTCCAACAACCTCCCAGCCCCGGGGCAGAGAGGAACACAGCGGTTCATACCATCACAACTTTTGTAATGACATTCTTTTTTTTTCGAATTTTCCTTATTCCGCCTCTTTCCGCCGAATAAAAAGTTGGCTAATTGCGCGATAATAATTTTCACCTCTCCCTCCCTCTCTATCTCGGTCACCGTGGGTCTCTCCGTCGCGCCCTCTGCTTTTTCAAGTCATTAAACTGAACTCTTGCGGCGGAGGCGGTCAGTGGCGTGCGATACGGGTCAACGGAACGCACAGTGAAAAATACGAGAATAGGAGAAAAATGGTGACAGAGAGAGAAATTGGAACGCTATGCTATAACTTTTATGCTCATCTAACGCCTAATTGCAGTCAAAAGGTAAGATATTGCTCCCACAGACAAAACGGATCCCGTATTTTTTCCATAGTAATCGTAACATCTATGGCAATTTTATTTGCAAAAGCGAGTGGTCGCAAACTACATCCAGGGAGGCATGTCTTTCTTTCAATTAATGTTCTTGCTAAATTTAAAAATGGTGTGCTTTGTTTTCAGAAAAGGGTGCTTGTAACAAGTACAATTTTCTCAAAAGAACATTGAAAATTCAAGAACATGCTTCCCTGAGTCCATTGCTATCGCTAATGTTTGTAGTCATTCTCGCAAACTCTATGACGGCAGTCTTTTGTTTGCCCATTGACTAGGCTTCGCATTATGATGACTCGATAGGACTATTATTATTCTCCCAGTGTACAACGCGTCGTTATTTCTGAACATTTGCAGAACGCGCCGCGCCTCTTTGCACCCCAAACACAAAGGCGCCGCCGCAGGTTCGGCCGCCCCCTCCCGCTTACGCCTTACGCCGAGTTGCCTCTTACAACTTGTTCTTCCTTCAGCACGTGAAGTATTTCTGTAATGTCGGACGGGAGCAGGGCGCCCCTGTCTACACGCCCGAGTCGAGTTACAGCCTTACACCGACTAAAGGGAGTGCACACGAAAACTGTAAAAAGAGTTCCGTTCCGAAAACTAACTGAAACTTCTTTTCCACACCACACTGATGAAGACTTTGAGTTACCAGTGTGCTGTGTACAAGTTTTTGACTGCTCAGTGGCGACACTTCCGAGCTCAACTCAAGTTTTCGATAAGCTAGCTGCAAAAGTTGTCCAATTCAGTTTCGGATACCATAGTACCAGTCGACACACAGGTTATCAAAATCAAAACGACGACAGACATTTCAACTGGCACTGGCCTGTGAGCACGCGGAGGACAGAGCTGCGCTCCTGGGAGGGTAAACTCGGTGACCTGGCCTAATTCGAGGAACATCACTGGTCCCTTCCTAAAAACCTTGCGGTCGGACTCGTATTTATTTACTTTCTTGTCCTTGGGCCGAAAGCGGTCGTCGTGTGGGGATCCGCAACCAGATATACGGGGCGGGAGCGCGGGCTGTCCTCGGGAGACGGGAGTAGGGAATTCGCGAATATCAATGTCAATAAAGTAAGGGCGAGGACCCCCGCGCACCCTCGTCTAGGGAACACACACACACACACACACACACGCACACACGCACGCACATTATCTCTCGCTCTCCCCACCCCCTTTTCCACACACACACACACACACACACACACACACACACACACTCTCACACACGCACCACTTTCCGAGTCACCGACACAGAAGGAAAACCCGTTTTGGCAAACCACGCGTTTGCTGACTTACGAACCCCTTTCTCCCCAGCCCTCCGTACCTCCCGGACACGACCTCTCCAAGGAAGGAAGCCAGTGCGCTTGGCTGGGCGGGCCGGGGGCCGGGGCGCCCTCCTTGGGCCGTTCATGCATAAAGTAAATAACGGGGGGAGAGGCACGGCGGCGCCGCGGTCCTGCGGGGGCCAGCCAAGGCGGCCCCGCGCACCAGCACCCCCAAAGGGCTCCAAAGGTCCTCTTTGCGTGACCTGCAATCATAAGGGCACATTCAACAAGCAAGTATGGCAACAGCGTCCATTACCCAGAAGGCCAAAATCTACATGAGACTGTCGGGGGCGCGAGTATCAAGCACAATGTGTGTAGTGTTTCCAAGGTGTTTGCACATTCAGCTGCATTGGACTGCA